AAGTCCATTATGTAATTCACTCTGTTCTTTATTCAAAAGGTGAAGAGCTTGTGAAGTAAAATTCAATGCTTTTTTGCTGCAGAATAGGCTAAAGAATTAATGTTCATACGACTCCGTACAGCCAATCCAGGGACTCCTAAGAGAGAAACAACTAAAAAGATATATTCAGACCTACTGGGAAAAGAGACAAAAGCATCACAATCATTAGTCGATTCCACAGAGCGGCAATATCGAGAGCGGGATAAATGATGCTTCTTGGGTAAAATGATGGACAAACGGCTTAAACAGCAAGGTGTGCCATGGCTGATGTATTGGCACATGGTAGGGGAATTCAGCATTCCTTGTGGTAGGACTTTCCATTGATACCGTTCCGTGGGCTGACAGTTATTTAACACAGGAACAGTAAAAGCAAAGAATTTACGATCTTTCTCCTGTAGGGGAATGGAGAAAAAACAATCTTACAAATCTATTATAGCCAATTGATAAGAATGTGGAATCATATTTGGATTAGGCAGACCACACTGCAAAGGCCCCATGGGTTCAAGGATTTGGTTTATTTTCCTTAAATCCTGGAGAAATCCCCATTTGCCACTCTTCTTTTTTATAGCGAAGATGGGTGTATTATAGGGGCTAGCTGAAGGCTCAATATGGTCTGCCGATAATTGTTCATTCACTAATTGTTTTAAAGCAAATAGCTTTTCTCCCGTTATGGGCCATTGTTCCACCCATACAGGACTGGTAGATTTCCAGCTGAGGGAAGTGCAAGCTTACTCATTAAATTGAATGGTAGCTTGTAATTGCTGTAGTAAATCTCTTCCCCACAGATTGAGGTGGATTTTCAGCACACAGGGCTGGATGTATGCAATGGTTTCAGAGCTATCAGGCAGAGAAACAGGCAGCCACTGTACGCTTTTGGAAGAGGTTTGGGGGCCACCCACACCCCAGACTGCAGAGGCAGACTCAAGGGGCCACGTGGGGTCCCAGCAATTACTAGAAATTACAGAAACGTCTGCGCCTGTGTCAATCAAGCCTTCCAGCACAATGCCATTGATTTTATACTTACGAAGAAGTTTCTTTTCACCAATCCTCTGGACTATAGCTAACAGCTGTGGAGGGAAAGAAGAGAGCTCGTGCAAATTAGTATCCATAATAGAAGCAGTAGGATGAGAAGGGAGCACCACCAAATGTGCCCAAGACTCACCCTTTTTTAATTGCATGGGCATATGGCTCCAGAGTTGAACCATTAGTGTGCCTACATAGTCAGGATCCAGAACCCCAGGAATAACCTGGATTCCTTCTTTTGCCGCAGAAAATTTGGGTAAAATTAAACCTGCGACTTTAGGAGGCAGTGGGCCTGCCAACTGAGTGGGCATAAGCACAATTTCACCAGGTAAAACAGAGTCTTTGGTCTCCTGATTGATCAAATCAATGGCAAAATCAGAGGGTGTTTTTTCAGAAAAGTTTGCAGCAGCAGATACTAAAGGTGGAAAACTCTCTAATTGCCCTGGCCCGAGAGTGGGGCCGCAATGGAGTTTCCCGGACTCCTGCATTGATTAGCCCAATGATAGCCTTTGCCACATTTCGGGCATTTTTTAGAAGGTTTAGCCTTAGAGGCAGCACCATCCTTGTGTGCCCCCCCGCCAGGGGCTCTGCATTGCTTGGCACAATGGCCTGGGCGCTTACAATTAAAGCAGTTACCCGTAGGCCTATTGGTAGCTTGGATTGCGCCGGCAAGCAAAGACATCGCATGGCTCTGGCTACCGACATCCGCACAGGCTTGAATCATATCGGCCAGGTCATATTTAGGGCGATGTATGATTGACTGCAATGCCTTCTTGCAATCGGCGTTTGCGTTTTGAAAGGCCAATTTTTTCATCAATTCATTTTGAGCTGTGGTGTTATCAATCTGCCTAGTGACTGATTCTTTCAATCTATCTATAAACTGATGGTATGGCTCCGAATGCTGTTCCTTAATATTTACAAAGGAGCTCAGCGGTTGTCCAGAAACAGGGACTTTCCGAAAGGCGCGTTGTACACAGGTCGCGGTGCGACTAAAATGTACAGGTGTCAGCGTTGCCTGGGCAGTTATATCATTGTACTGACCAGCGCCATAAAGTTGATTGGCAGTATGCTGTGGATCAGACAGGGCTGATGCGCTATGTTTAAATTCACTCTCAAACACCACATACTGAGCTGGGGACAAAAGCATGCGCATCAGGTCTTTCCAGTCCTGAGGTAGCATAATGTAACCAGTTGCTATGCCTTCTAGCATTCCTGTCACATAAGAGGATTTTAGACCAGAATCAGCAATTGCCTTCCTTAATTCTCTCATTACAGAATAAGGAAGCGACTCATAAAAAACCTGCTGTTGAGCAGTTCCAGGGTTTGAATAGGTGATAGGAAAAGCAGACGGCATTTCACCTGGCCACTCAGACTCCTCCTCTAAGGACAGGAGCCCTTTCTGCCTGGCCAAAGAAAGCGCAGCGCGCACAGCTCCTATAGAGCAAACAGGGGCTGTGGCAGACGGAGGAGGGATGGGGGGGGAGGAAGCAGGCTGAGGTGGAGGGATGGGGGGGAGGATGCAGGCTGAGGAGGCTGAGATGCAGGGAGGGATTGGCTGGGCTGCAAAGGAGAAGGAGGCAAAAGCTTTGGGTAAGGTGGGGGATTGTCTGCGATGGCTAGAAGTGCAGGAGCCGAGGGAGACACCTTGGGTCCCAATAATTGGGGCCCTAATTTAGCAACGGCGTCTGCACATTTCTGCCAAGTGAGCAGACAATGAATTGGAGCCCTAGGTTCTGTAAAAAGGGTTTTTCCGATCTTTTGCCAAGTCTCTACCTCCAAAGAACCAGCCTCTGGATAGAAGGGACATTCTAAAGCGATCTCACATAGCAATTGTTCAATTTCTTTTAAGGAAATATTAACACCCACCGCTCGCTGTCTAACTAAATAAAGCAATTCTTTAGCATGCTCTTTCTGGAGCTTAGTCAATTCCCCTCCCATACTCACGAAGTAGCGCACTGAGACTTTTCCAGTCGGGTGAAGTATGAGGGCTGGCTGCGTAAGGGATCTGGCACGTCGGGGGTCACCAGATGTTGGGTTGAAATCACGACAGACGAGTGGTAGGTGTCATATGAGAGGCGTCTCTCCAGGGCGAGCCCTGGGAACTCTCTTTTATTGAATATTACAAACATTGCCACAGGTGTGCTTGTGGCTGATTGGTTGATACAAATACAAAGCATCTTGTTGCTGATTGGTTAACATAGGTACAAGGCGGGAATTACATATGAGCATTTATCACTGATAGATCAAAGACTGGGAAACAGAGCTGGAACTAGACAGGCATGAAACGTCCTAATTAAATTATAACTAAAGATTAATATTGAGAGAACATAACATGAAGGAATACAACAATCACGTTCTGTAGATGTGGTCAGCAAGGCATTAAGAACAGACCATATTGTTTTGTTCATGAACTTGAAACGAACTGAAGAATGAGAGAATGTTTTGGTGTGTTTGGCTTGGTGTGTTTGGAACAGTATGTGCAGAAGCAGAAGCAAGACTTCCCAAAATGCAAGAGAAAAGAAGCAATAGCAAGACTTCCCACAATGCCACAGTTATGTGCAGTAAGAGAACTGCAGAAAGAAAACTTCCCTTCAAGCAGGCACCATTGTTTCCATTCCACTGCAGTTCATCTAAGACTGCAATTCATCTCACTGCCCACTGTGGTAAACCTATGTAATAATTACATAATTTATCCAAGCTACGTTGTCATTGTGTTATTCCATCCCGTTATTTTCAGTGCCAAGGAAACACAGTGCAAAGAGGCTGGGATGGCATGTAATCAATCAGGCATCGTTTGTGGATGGAAAGCAGCAAGAACAGTGGATGCTGATCCTAATAGCAGGATTGATTTCTATTATGGACATGGGACAAAGAAGGAAGCACCAGCAATTCTTGCTTCCACTACTGACTAAACATCAGAAATAGCAGCAATGATTAAAAAGTAATTTGAATAATCACTCTTGAAGCCATTACTCTGAAGCAGGCCCACTGTTTCCTCATCAGTCACTGCCTGGCTTTTGAGCAGAATGTTCTTAGGGAAGTTGTAAAAGCATTCTTTTTAGATAACATTAATTTAGCCAAAGTATCCCAATGTGTTTCTCCAAGAGGGGTGAATGCCTAGAAATGGGGAACATTGAATCATATCAAAGAAAGCATAAAGCTGTCCATGAATGGCAAAGCCTCTCCTCCTTCCGGAGGGGAGGGGTTGTGAGCAGGAGCCGATTCCCGCGTCACGCAGGGGGCGTTCTGCCCCCTGCCCTGACATCATTGCTGGCACGCCATGCCTCCCAGTTGGGCACCCAATCGGGTGCCACCACGGGGGCGTGGTTTAGCCACTCAAATGCGGCCGCACCAGCTCTCCCTGCTATTGGTTAGGCATTGGAATGTGTTGTTGGTGTATGGAAGGGCAAGGTGTGGCCATCGCCTACCCCTTCACTTATGGGTATTCCATTAAAGGAATCTGGCAGTCGTGGATCCTGTCTGATGCCCTGTGTGGCGGGGGGCCATGGCATGACCCCCGGTGACATCAGGGGAGAGCTTATAGTTGTATTTGCATCAATAGGCTCCCCCTACTGGTGGTTAACCCCTCATCAGACTCACCCCTCTCCGAGTGGGTGGAGTCAAATTTGGTGTTGTCCAATGCCTAAGCCAATACCTTCTCACATGCTGTAATCAATAAAGTTGTGGCCTTTTCTAGCCCATTAACCTAATATACTGTGTCCACGTGTCTTTATTATTCCCAAGCGGGGGACAGGTTCTCGAATCACAAAGTAACAGATTAAGCTTTGAATACCTTCATTTGAGTCACTTTCTGAAAGCCAACCTTTAATTGTAATTTTGTGTGAAGGACTCCTTTAAAAAGAGTCTTTAATTTCAGAAGGACCAAGATATAAGCTTGAAATGTAAAACATGACCTAGATTGATCTATTTCTCATACCCACTTCTCTAGCTAATGTGTCCTGACTGGCAGAGTCCCCCTCTCATAGCCTTCATCTGAAGCTGGTAAGCCACTGTGTGTTTCTCAGGTTTCCAGAATATGTGCTGCCAGAATGTGATCTACCACTGAGCCACACCCCTTCTCCAAGAAGCAAATGGGCAGCTCCCAGTCACTGCAGAAAGTGGCAGACAACAGAAGTCAGGCATAATTTCCCAGAAACTTTCAGGGGGCAGGCATGGCCTTCCCAGAGCTGTAATACTTGGCTGCTCCTTGTGTTGGTTAAGAGACGTATGTCTGTGTTCACCTTAGGGACTGGCTTGGGAAATCTGGGGGCAATGTGGAGGCACAGAGATTAAGGTGACCCTGTATCTTTCTGCATGGTGTGAAAGCGACCAAAATCCTAGTCAGTTCTGGAGCTCATTATACTCGTCTGTCTTGTTTTTCCTACACTGCCAAAGAATTTTGGAAATCCAAAGAAAAGATGTGTGTGTGAGAGACAACACTTTTTTACTAAAAAAAGTAACCAACTAATTATGGCACAGAACACTCTAGAGGGTTGCAGAATAAAACAAAATGTCTCAAGCTAAAATATTATCATGACTTTCTCCTAGGTCCCTGCTTACATCAAGAATGTATGTGAAGTATGATTTCCCGGTGGGGATGCAAAGTTTGTTGGGGTGAAAATGCACAGTGTAAGCTTTGTGTTGCAGCCCTCCCAATGTGTTTCTGTTGTATTAAAGGCAGATACTATATTTTTAGAAACACTTATTCACAGGAAATTAGGCGTCCAATGGAGTGGGTTAGCAGGGGGGAGAATGACAGATGGCAATGGACTAACTCCAGCTTTTCATTACTGCCGTGCAACCCTCAAGACTTCCGCACTGCACCTCAACTAATGAGGAGACAGTGTGTCTATTGGCTCTTAATCACGAGTCACTTAGGGAAGAGATTGGGTTTTATTTCTGCCTCCCAGAGTTATACTTGCAGATTAAGAACGTAGAATGGATTTTCATGATGGTTTTGTGCGTATCCAGCCTGAGGGTCCTCTTCTCCCATTGGGCTTTTTAGGCCAATTCAGATTAATTTGCTGCTCTGCATTACTTAAGACTAGAGTTGCAAAAAAGGGAGATATTAATCAATTACATTAATCATATGAGTGAGGCTTCAGTCCTGTACACACACTTAGCTGGGAGCAAGTCCTATTAAACTCACTGGAATTTACTACAGGAGCTATTGCAGACCCTCCAAGTGTCCTTATTGTCCAGGGACAGTCCCAGATTTAGGGAAGCTGTCCTGGTTTCTGGTTTGATCCCAGAATGTCCCGCTTTTCCTTAGGATGTCCCTATTTTAATCGGAGAAAGGGTGGAGGGTACAGTAGGACGTCCCTATTTTCATCAGAGAAGTGTTGCAGGGTATGTAGTTATGCAACCCCTGAGTCAAGGAGATAAGTAATTATACAACCTTTAATAGACATCTGAAGGCAGACCTGTTTAATGTGCAGGGTATGGAATAGGATGGACACGGGTGGCGCTGTGAGTTAAACCACAGAGCCTAGGACTTGCCGATCAGAAGGTCGGTGGTTCGAATCCCCGCAACGGGGTGAGCTCCCGTTGCTCAGTCCCTGCTCCTGCCAACCTAGCAGTTCAAAAGCACATCAAAGTGCAAGTAGATAAATAGGTACTGCTCCAGCGGGAAGGTAAATGGCGTTTCCGTGCGCTGCTCTGGTTCGCCAGAAACGGCTTTGTCATGCTGGCCACATGACCTGGAAGCTGTACGCCGGCTCCCTCGGCCAATAAAGCGAGATGAGCGCTGCAACCCCAGAGTCAGCCACGACTGGACCTAATGGTCAGGGGTCCCTTTACCTTTATCTTTATTTCCATTGGAGAAATGTTGGAGGGTATGGAGTTACCCGGCCCCCGATCCACCTGAAGGCAATCCTGTATAGGGAAGTTTTATTTAGTGTTCAATGTTTTATTATGTTTTAACATATATTGGAAGCCGCCCAGAGTGGCTGGGGCAAACCAGTCAGAAGGGCGGGGTAAAATTATAATTATAATTAAATAGGACATCCATATTTTCATTGGAGAAATGTTGGAGGGGATGTTATTGGTATACAGAATTGCAGCCCAAGACTGGCAAGGTTCAGACATTATCTACATTAAGGAGTTATGAAGAAGACATCCTGAACAATGGAAAACAGAGCAGATTTCTCACCAGTCAAATGCTTTATCTTTGCCTTTAAAATACGTTAGATGCCAGGGTGATATCCCATTTAAGGTTGCACATTGTGAGCAGATTGTGCCCATCTCTGGGGTGACAGTGGTAGACGCAAGTTCACTCCTCACTGCTCTGGAAGATTTCTTCCTCTTCAGTCTTGACATCCACAGAAGCATCGGTTTCTTGAACAGGGGAAGCTTGATATGAATTACGAAAAGCCCGCAAGAAGGCCTTGATGACATCGCTGAGTTCTAGGCTCTGAATGACGGGTTTCTTTTGAGCCTCATAATTCTCTAAGGTGCAGTTTTCACTCAGCTGCTTGCAGATGAACACCAATATATGCTCCTCTGTGCCTTTGACTTCTGCTTTGTCCTCCTTGAGGTGGAGATCTGTGTTCCAAGTGCTGTTGCTAGGTTGAACATTCAGCGAGACGATAGCCCAGGTTTGGTTCCTCACAGCGACCTGCATAATCTTTTCCAGCGAAAATGAAGAATGTTAAGTTAACCAGTGACCTGCCTGATGGGTTAGTAACAGTTGCCTGTCTGCTGGTCTGGGAAATCAAAATATAAATTGTTTTATAGGACAACTGTGATCAGGGTTGCACAGCCCAACCCAAAACTTCCTAGGCCTGACAAACCCACCTTGTCTTAGCAGTTTTGGGCAAGCAGTAAAAACATGGTTGGTGGTTTCTCTTTGACTTTGTGTTTCAAAAGTTCATAAATAATAAAAAAAATTCATACAGTGCCTTTCAAGGGTTCAAAGCACTCCTCATATGATCTCACAAATCCTTACAAAATTGTCTAAAGACACACCGGTACTATTTATACCCATATTATAGTTGGAGGCGGGGTGGTGGTCAAGGTTGAAACATACTCACTTGCCTCAGAGTCTTTCCTAGTGAATTTTGAATAAGGTGAGACTTGAACGGGTAAATGTCCAGCTCATTCTCCCCATATGAACTGACCTGGACCCTTTGAGCATCGCCTGAGGCCTTCTTTGTGTGCCTCCTCCATGAGAGATCCAGAGGGTGGCAACACGGGCCTTTTCTGCAGTGGCTCCCCATTTGTGGAAAGCTCTCTCCAGGGATGCTCGCCAGGCACCTTTGTTACATATCTTTATGTGTCAGGTGACAATGTTTCTCTATAACCAGGCTTTTGGCTGATTAAACAAAATATGGTCTTTTAAATGTGTTTGTGGGAGTGGGGCTATTGGTTTGTTTTTGTGTTATGTATTTTGTGCCAGATTTTTAGGTTGCAAAATACCTGTGATCTTCAGATGAGGGGTGGTATACAAATTAAATAAACAAATAAATAAATAATGCTTCCTCACTCTATATTACACAAGCTGTGGCGTCTCAGACACTCTTGTGCCGCAAGGCACACAGGAAGAAAGGTACCATATTTTTTGCTCTATAAGACTCACTTTTTCCCTCCTAAAAAGTAAGGGGGAATGTGTGTGCATCTTATGGAGCGAATTCAGGCTGTGCAGCTATCACAGAAGCCAGAACAGCAAGAGGGATTGCTGCTTTCACTGCGCAGCGATCCCTCTTGCTGTTCTGGCTTCTGAGATTCAGAATATTTTTTTTCTTGTTTTGCTCCTCCAAAAACTAGGTGCGTCTTGTAGTCTGTGCGTCTTATAGAGCGAAAAATATGGTAGCTGTGTTGGCCCTTCAGAAAAATTCCAAAATCACCAGTAGAGCAATACTTTTATTAGGATCATCCAAAAGCTCATAAGATACTGAGCAATAGTTAAGCACGGACTGCTGAAGAGTTCTGGAGAACCTGAGAGTATGCTCACTACTATGTTGGATGCTGTCCTACTGTGGAGTTTGGAACTTTCCTGTAATGCATCTCTTTAATGAACACACTCCTCTGTTTTCTGAACGGTGTGCTAAACATTTGTTTTTGAAGTATGTGGTTGCGGGAAATTAATGTCCTGTAATGCCAAGAGTTCAGCACTGCATGATCTCTGCTTCCCATTTTTGTGCAAGCAAAGTTCTTGCTCTCTAGCTAAGTCGCTGTGTATTGAAAGAAAGACAAGCATGGAATTGTCCACTGTGTGAGAGAGAGCTCATCACGTACAGAAGCAGCCTGCAAGTGAAGATTTTAATGACAGCTGTGGAGTTACTTCTGCTCTCTCCCCACTAGTAGGTGAGTGGTGTTTACAGCGCTGACCATCTGTTCAAAGGGTGGAGAGAAGTTTCTCACACACAGCAGTGGGAATACAGCTTTCTGCTGCTTGTGATGGTCTCTAGAGTGGGTCTAATGGCTGAAACACATGAATTTGGATTTATGACAATCTACTGTTATCTATTTCCCCCCTGATTAATTCTGCAAAGAAAAGAAGCCAAAATGGTGTTCTGTATTTTTCTTACTTTACTTAATGCTCTGCCATGGGATCGAACTACAGTGGTACCTCGGGTTAAGTACTTAATTCATTCCGGAGGTCCATTCTTAACCTGAAACTGTACTTAAACTGAAGCACCACTTTAGCTAATGGGGCCTCCCGCCAGCACGATTTCTGTTCTCATCCTGAAGCAAAGTTCTTAACCTGAAGCACTATTTCTGGGTTAGCAGAGTCTGTAACCTGAAGCGTATGTAACCTGAAGCGTATGTAACCTGAAGCGTATGTAACCTGAAGTGTATGTAACCAGAGGTACCACTGTAGATGCAAAGTATAACAGACATGTGCTTCTTTTCATGTGTATACTCTGTGTACATACAAAGGGATGGTGCACAAGTGTTTGTCTAACAGAAGTACACAGGAGAAGAACACCAAACCTCTCCTCCCTTTCCTATACTCTCTGGTTCATTGCTCCAAGCATTTATCTCTATTCTCTGATAACTTCTGGCACTGGAATTAAGAGGAGAGAAAGGTTCCTGGAGCAATGGATTGAGGAGAGGGTTAGTGCAAGAGGGGTGAAGTGTCCATTCAGCTCTCCATAACTCAGTGGTAGAGCATGTACTTTCCATGCTTTGATCATCCCAGGTTACATTCCTTGCATCTCGGGGTAGCTTAGCCTCCACCAACTTTGTGTCCTCCAGATGTTTTCAACTACAGCTCACACCAGCTCCACCTAGCATGGCCAGTGGTCAGGGATGATGGGAATTGTAGCCCAAAATATCTGGAAGAGACAAGGTTGGGAAAAGCTGGTATGGATAATACTGAACTAGGAGGATTGGTGAACTCACTCAGTATACGACAGATTCTGTGTTCCTCTCCCACACTTTTTTAGCGTTAAATTAAGATGACAAATCTCTGTTTTAGGTGTAAATGAGTGGAATGCCTAAATAGTGGCCCTGTTACATTTAATTTGGCCATCATAAGGTAAAGGTAAAGGGACTCCTGACCATTAGGTCCAGTCATGAGGTTGCAGCGCTCATCTCACTTTATTGGCCAAGGGAGCCGGTGTACAGCTTCCGGGTCATGTGGTAAGCATGACTAAGCCGCTTCTGGCAAACCACAGTAGCGCACGGAAACGCCGTTTACCTTCCTGCCGGAGTGGTACCTATTTATCTACTTGCACTTTGACGTGCTTTCGAACTGCTAGGTTGGCAGGAGCAGGGACCGAGCAATGGGAGCTCACCCTGTTGCGGGGATTCGAACCACTGACCTTCTGATCGGCAAGTCCTAGGTTCTGTGGTTTAACCCACAGCACCATCATATGGATGAACAAATGCAGGGAAGAGATGTCTATCTAAAGTATACATTTGAGTTCATCCAGATGCTAAGGACAAATATCACATTGGGAGCTTCCCAGAGCATCTGACAGCTGCTGCTACACTAGATGAGTTTTCAGTATGATCCAGAAAGTCAGTTGGCACATTCTTGCAAGAGAAAAAGAAAATGAAAACCACCCACCATGCCATAATTGGGAGCGATTTCTTTGACTAGTTTGGCTAAAAGCTCCGCTTCATCAAATTCAATGGTTAGGACGGTTGGTTCAGATGTGACGATGGGCCTTGCAAATTCCGTATCGGGAGCCGTTTGTTGAAATGTTGTGACCATTTTAGTTTTGCCCATTGTGATGGTTAATTTCGTGCTGAAGAGCAGGACGCAAGCCATGATGGTGATGCAGAAAACGAGGATAAGCCCAGCCAACAATGCAAATATCATAGAAAGGAGAGCATTCAGGATGTTCATGTTTGGAGAGTTTTCTGGCACGGCCTGGCATGACCTTCAGATTGTTCGCATGACTGTCATTTTGGTAGTTTCTCCTTCTGTGCTGGGCCAGGGTCATCTGTAATCAAATGACACCAAGCCTAGCTAGAACTTGGTTATCTGGGCAACGGTGCTACATCACAGTGGGTGAGGTAAGCAATTGCAACAGCACACAAAGGACACTCGGCTTGCCAGTTTTCTCAAGAAAGGCATTTTGCAGATGGAATAGCATGCTATTTCAGTTCTAGCTGCCCTCTGTAGGAAGCAAGGAAGGTGTGAGCAGATCATTATGGGGAAATGGCTCACTTTAGTTCTTTTCCAAACTTTTGCAGTTGGGATGACAGTAAGTTTACATTCCAGAAAGAGCTTTTCCTTTGTTTAGTGAAAAAACACTATAGAACTGGGGCTATCCTTGGTATAATTCTGTAGGGTGTGAGCTATCATTAAGGTGTCATTATGCCTTTTACTTTGGATGGGCATACGACGCATAACCCTATAGTAAAGAACATAAGATTATATGTGTTCTAGGACACCGTATTTACCTCTTAATTACATATCAGGAACATTTACTGATTAGTATAACTAATAAGGATAAACATCTAATTGAAAGGTAATGTCTGCTATGTATGTAACATATGGGAATGAAAACAATGTCATAAGGTGGATGAACAGTTAGGGGAAAACTAGATTTCACAGGAGACATGGGGTTCCTGCCAAAACATGTGACACAACCATCACACTCTCTCCACCACCGATCTACTTCATAGGTTGAAAGGATGTTACCATGAAGGCAATAATACTACCAAGAAACCAGATTCAGGACTTGATGCAGAACTGGAAAAAAATCATTTCAACATTGCATTTACAGTAATTACTGAAAGCTTTGCTCAGTTTGTTAAGATCTGATTCATTTCCTGTTTCTTTCATTAGCGTTCCATTTGTCCTTGTATCCACATCCATTTTGACGGGTTGTGTCCCCCTCCCAATTCTTTACTATATTTTGCTTCCTTCTGGGGCAGTGGCAGCAGTAGAGCAACAGCTGAAGCCCCTCCTACAAGTAGTGTTATGTACTGAGTTGAATAGGATCCAAAAGACAGCAGTCTTATTGGTCCTAGAACAATAGGATTCAGAATGCAGCAGTCTGATTGGTCCTAGAACAATAGGATTCAGAATGCAGCAGTCTGATTAGTCCTAGAACAATAGGATTCAGAATGCAGCAGTCTGATTGGTCCTAGAACAATAGGGTCCAGAATGCAGCAGTTTGATTGGTCCACAGGAGCCACCCAATCCAGCTCCAGGTGGAAGTGAATCCGCAACCTGATTGGCCTACAGGTGAATCCCGGAATTAGCCAATCACGTGGGGCCCATTGTGTAAATAATGTATATAAAGCAGACATTCTGGGGGAACTTCCATTCCTCCTCACCACTATGAGCTGAATAAAGAGCATGAAATCCACTCTCGACTCCAAGTATATTTCAGGTAGCCATTGTCTTTCCCCCCAGAGTGTCTCCTAATTCTGGGGTATTGGAGAAACATGGCTGCTATAAAACAGCAGCCTCCCCTGACAACTGTCATTTCCCCCTGAAATGGACTGGAAGGGACTCCCTGCTAATACCAATCCCCCCCCCCATTTCTTTCAGGACAAATGGGTTCTGTTCCGTTAAATGTTCCATTTTTGTGTCTGAAAAGAATGCACAGCCCTCGTTTTCAGAGGTAGCCACATATTTCTGCCCCTAGCATGTCAGAGAGAAGAGACAATGAACATAAAACATCAGATCTTATGGATGGATGCCTCTGCAGCATCACATAACTATTTTCTTTTTTAAAAAGTTTTTTTATTAACAAATTCAGCACAACAAATCAACAATACAAATCGTCTTCATTGGTTTTTTCCCCTCCCATTTTTTCCCCTCCCACCTCCCCAGCAAACCCTCCCAAAGATTTCCCTCAGCTCCTCTCTCTGATTTCTCATCTCATATTGTTCTCTGCATATTATAAAATTGTATACATCCTTATATTATCTACCCAACATATTAACCCAATAAATTTGTGTATGTTTATTCAATACCTGCCAAGGAGTCCAGTTCATTTTGTTGTCTTTTTAAATAGACTGTAAAAGGAGGCTAAATTAATTGTAAATAATGTGGTGACGGAAGAATTTAAGATAGAAAAAGGGACACGACAGGGGTGCCCAATCTCCCCACTGCTTTTTATATCGGTCCTGGAGGTTCTGCTGAATATGATTAGAAGGGACCGGTTGGTTAAAGGCATACAAGACTTTAATTGGTGTCACTCCAGCCACACACTTAACAGGCTGCTCAGTTTTTCAGCACTCTGCTGCACTTTTGAATGGAAATCTATAGGCTAAAAAAGAAAAGAAAAAAAGATTTACTCTGTCATTGAGATACATACACAGACCATGTATGGCCAGTTCTACCAATGGGTGGACCAGCCAGCTGCTTGATAGCTCAGTTGGTAGAGCATGGGACCCTCTCTCATGATCTATGATTCTGGATGACCCAGAATCATAGAATTGTAGAGTTGGAAGGGACCCTGAGGCTCTTGTCCAACTTGCTGCAATGCAGGAATAAGCAGCTGTCCTGTACGGGGATCAAACTTGCAAACTTTGCATTCTCAGCACCACGCTCTAACCAACTGAGCTATCTAGCCTTAGCTGAATGTTGCTGAACTTGGTGATGGGTTTTCTTACCCTGCCATACTTAGGGTGCCAAACACTCTTGAAAACACAGTGTTGGATTTCTGCTTATGCCACTGTGCAGTGCTTGGAGTCACAAGACTCTGTTTACATTCCAGACTGTTGGAAGTGTCACGGGAGATGGGAGATGGACGTTAATGTTACTGGTTTCCTGTTTCTTTGTACCAGTTGGTTCACTGTCTCTCACAGAGAGAGGATGTATATTCTTTTCTGTCTGTGTAGTTAAAAATAAAATGTAGCAATGTAGCTCATATATTTCTTGTCCTTCTGCTGGTGTCTGGTTACTCTGCATAATGGGGACATGCCTGGAGCCTCATCAAAGGCTTAGGTTGTTAATCACCTTTGGAGGAGATACTGAAGACACGTCCGAGGAGGAGTAGCTCGGCTGTACGTAGTTCTGACATATAGTAGTGACTTGTACTAATAAAATGGTATGTACAGTGGCTTAGATCTTAACAAACAGAAACACTATGCCAGCAAAAAAGACAAAATATAACCCTTTTATGGTGTCTCTCTGCCCCCCATAGATATCCCTTTTCTCTGTAAGATTCTACCTTTCCTTAAAAAGTGGCTTGCAGTGCAGATTTTAATGACAGCCACATCTATGAACAAAATCAAGAGCCGTTGCTTTCACAACACTTTCCATTTGTTAATTCTCTTGCGAAAGAAAGGAAGATAAAGCCACCGAACCAAGAAGAAAATGTTATATATCCAAGGACTTATGAATCATGAGCACAAGTAATGCTATTTGCCTTGGGCTTGTCATTATATTGTATGGCTATGAGCATTGTTGACCCTCTCCTTGTATTGATGTTGCCATTTAATAAGTTATTTCCAGTAGAAAGCTCTTGGAATTTATGTTGGCTATTTAGTGTGGTTCTGGCTTCTTGTCTTACACTTTTGGGGGGAAAGTCTATATTCCATCTGTGTCCAAGTGAGTAATGGGAAAGCCGAAGAAGTCAAAGGAGGTCATGAACACGTACGTAGATCAATTGTCAAGTAGTGGATTACATATCTAGTGATCTGGCAAAGTTCCAGCTTTATAGATTCAGCTGCTCCATTTTGGCAATGCTGGAGTCATCAGTCTATAACATCAGGTATACAGTGTTTTAGGGAAGGAATTCTGAACAGCAGCCTGTTAGTCTGTAGTGCACACAAGAGACACATTTTAAAATATAACATAAAATAATTGTGAATAAAAAGAAGGAATATATAAGTATGGAGAATCACACCCAGCGTTATACTAACCAAACAGCACAATTTTACTGAACATAGATGGTTCTTTATACATTTGTTATCATTGTCCCTTGTTCCTGAATTCTCATATCTTTCAAATTAGTTTATTCAAAACAGAGGAACTGTTACTTTGGGGGTTTAACTATACAATATCACACAGCAGTCATATTTAGCCATTTAACCCCAAACCCTGGAGCAAATCCTTAGGTAACAGCTTTGCATACTGGCACTTATCTAATCAGCTGACCATGGCTCCTTAACATAACGGGCCCATTCTAATAGTACAGCTGCCATAAAGCTCATGGTTATATGTATTTCTCTAACATGGAAATAGCAAACTGATGAGCCCAGTGATTGGAGAGGGAACAGAGGGAGGAATAGTATTTTGGCATAGTATTACCTATACTAAAAGTGGACAAATCTGACTTTGTATTCCATTTCTTATTTTTCAAATCTAAAATTTAATTTCAAATCTTAAATTGAGTTTCCCACATTTCTGCAGTAATTTACACACACACACACACACACACACACACTGCATATTCGGCATCATTTTTCAGTGAATTCCTCTTAAACATTTTTTGTATGCAGTATTGACTAATTTCTGCAAGCAGTTTTCCCTAATGTAAAGCATTTTTGTATGCCATTTTGACATCTATATGCATTTTATGTACATTTCCCCATATTATATGCATTTCTGCACACATCTGTCAGTTGGGAACTGCACTGCAAAATTCAGAGAGCTCTTGTCTAGGTAAAGAGTAACCAAGCTACTTGGGGTTCTCCTCCAGCCACCCCACCCCCTGCAAGGGAAGCTAAATAGCATCTTAATCATTAACTAAAAAATAATCACACCATTAATTTTTATTATTTCCACAGCTTTCTCTACCACTATTAAAAAATCATTAGATTCCATTATTTATGGCTTATTTAATTATTTGTTTAATGAGTTGTTATTGATTCATTATTACAGTTTTTCACCCTGCAGAGTGCTTGGCGATTCCTTATCTCTTGTGAGGAGAATGTAAGAGGAGTCCCATCAAAGCCTCATCTAGTCCTGTTTCCCACAGCAGTCAACCAGCGGCTTATGAGAAGCATACAAATAGGACATGAGGGTGATAGCTTTTCCTCTCGTTGTTCACTAGTGACTGGTATTCTGAGGCAATCCTTCCTCTGATTCCCAATGCTCTCCCACCCCAACAAGCCTGAGAAAGAGCCTAAGCAGAGAGAAACTGACTTCAGGGCACATTCATGCCCAACACATTTAAAGCACTCTTCAACCACTGCAAAGAATCAAGGCTTTCCCCCAAAGATTTCTGGGAGCTGCAGTTTGTTGAGGATGCTGAATTCTTTTAGGAGACCCCTATTCCTCTCACAGGGATGTGGGTGGCGCTGAGGTCTAAACCACAGAGCCTAGGACTTGCTGATCAGAAGTTCGGCGGTTCGAATCCCCGTGACGGGGTGAGCTCTCGTTGCTCGGTCTCAGCTCCTGCCAACCTAGCAGTTTGAAAGCACGTCAAAGTGCAAGTAGATAAATAGGTACCGCTCCTGCGGGAAGGTAAACGGCGTTTCCATGCGCTGCTCTGGTTCACCAGAAGCGGCTTAGTCATGCTGGCCACATGACCCGGAAGTTGTACGCCGGCTCCCTCGGCCAATAAAGCAAGATGAGCACCGCAACCCCAGAGTCGGCCACGACTGGACCTAATGGTCAGGGGTCCCTTTACCTTTATTCCTCTCACAGAGCTACAATCTGGGCTCCCTCAGTTCTAGCGCCTCTCAGGTGGGCGCCATTACCATTATAAGAGAACAAGGGAGACGTTAATGATGAGTTCCGGCATCTCTTTTTCTAGAAAAATAGCACTTACTACAATTCTCAGAGTGGTTTAACAATCAATCCCTCTTCACAGGGAACTCTGGGAATTGTAGACATATGCTGGATCAGAGAAGTGTCCCATCTAGGTCAGAACTCTCTCTCCCAGGGAAGTGCACTCTCTCTCTCTCTCTCTCTCACACACACACATACACACAGCAAGATGGAGATAGCCTTTGTTTACTCTCCACTTCTGGTAATTAGAGCTTTATTGCTTCCGAATATTGGGACTTCCATTTAGCCCTCATCACTAGCAGCTATTGCTAGATCTATTTTTCATGAATCATCTGTCATTAAAGATAAACACCATTCCCAGGGCTCCCCCCCCCCCCCGGGAGAATTCACCGGAACTCAATTCTGGGACCTCTTAGGTAGGCGCCATTGTCATCCTAAGAGAATAAAGAAAAATGGAAAAATAGCACTGACCATTATTATCTTTCTAGTCATGAATTTCATGTTAAGTGTAAGTTGTGTTAAATAGAACCTATTGTCCTTATCTGTCCCAAACCTATTGCTAATCAATTTCACCCAAGAACTCCACGTTCTAGAATTAACTGATTGATTGATTTTGTTATTATTGTGAGAAAGATCGCAAGCACCCGATCTCATCATGAAACTTCGTACTCCTAGGAAAAGATGGTTTTAAGAAAGGAAGACAGATATCACTGAAGAGATCGCAGCCTCGTGGCTTCCTTTTCATGGCTGCATTTTCAAATGTAGATGCTAACATTGACTGAGTTGCCTAATTCAGGTGGTTATTTGGGTTAGCAAAAGACTGGGACTGCAAAGTGCCTGTCTCCCTTAATGCACTGTATAAATGATGTATATCATTTGTGTAAGTGGCTGATATTAGAGTTTATTGGTGGATAACATGGGAATGGAAATCTTCAAATGCTCGCAGGTTTTCTGAAATAATAACAAAGACTTAGCCGACAGTGTGTTAAATCATAGACTGTTGCTCTCCTTAAAAACAAAGCACACGTTTAAGATTCATATTAATGCTATGAAGCAAAGAATCCACATAGCAGCTTAGTTCTATTTGCTGCAAATTCACCTTGAACCATTAAGCAACCAAACTAGTGTATATAGATAGGGATGACGAAGGCTGAAATAATGACCAGAGATGATGATGCAGGGTTGTTTTTTTTGGGGGGGGGGTTTGGTTTTGGTTTTGCAGGGAGAACCAGCAAATGGAAGTTAAGTATACATAGGTAAAGGAAGGGGTGAAGCACCTCACTTCACCAACCCATAGCTGTCAACCGTCTCTTATTTGGCAGGAAAGTCCCTTATCCCAGCGCTGTGTCCCACTGCTGTCCCTTATTGATGATGTCCCTTAAATTTCCCGGGTTTCAAAGGAAGCAGCTCCTCTCCCTCCCTGCCTGCCGGCCAGGGAGGAGGGAGGCTCCAACTGTGTTGCTTGGCTGTGTTGCTCACCCAATAAGGAGTTTAAAAATGACTGGGGGGTGGAGCTTGCATGCCTTGTGCCGATCAAATCGGCTGCGTTGCCTGGGGACTCGCCTTCGCTCAGCGCTTCCCAGAGGAGAGGTGACGGTGGTTTTCCTTGCTGCATCCCCTTTGCCGGGTTGCTGTGCTTTGGGAACCACCGCTTGAGGCTTTGTTTGGCTGCTGGCTGGGCTTTCTGCCTTTGGCTCGGAGGGGCTCAGAAGCTGAACATATCTGTGTTCGGAAAATCCCTTATTTTGGCTGCTGACCCCTTATTTTCGAGGCTGCTAGTTCCTTATTTTCAAATCTGTAAGTTGACAGATATGCACCAACCACTTCTCCCCTACAAATGCCCTCCATCCTCAACACAGTGGCGTAGTGTGGGTTGCCCGTGCCCGGGGCCATGTTCAGGAGGGGGTTGGAAATGGATGGAGCATGCATGTGCATTCAACTGCCTAATAGCTACCGTGTCACCCAGGGGATGGCAGTCGCAGAGATAAGAAAAAAAAGAGTCATTGCATTGTCTAGAGAAGTCACTTCCTGGTTCGTTTGGAGAAGCTGTTTTCAACG